CTCCTCAGAGCACCAGATTGATGTAAGTGGGAAGTATAGAAATTGGATACCTAAAATTGGGGGGATAAAGGCATGAAAGTGTTGGCTTATAAACTTTCATAGGTGGGGGAATATATTCATAGGAATTATAGGATTAAGGTGTAGGTGTTACTTAACTGCAATTGTTAGGCTAAAGAAATGTGTACAGGTGCCAAGTTGGCAAGGGGTGGATTGTGATAGTTAAGGTTTATTGTGCCAACCTGGCCAATAAACACATTTGGGATTCATTGAAGGGCAGAGAGATAAATGGCTTAGTAATCCTTGCCTTTCTTGTTCTTTGGTTTCTTGTTTTCTGATGGTCAGAACAGTGTGCGGCTGCCTTAGCTAGTTCTTTGCCTCATCTGACAAAGCTCACTTCCTGCGAGACATCCCTGAGGGGAAGCCACATGGACCTACCCCTGATGTAGCCCTGGGTGCTGGAGAAGCCATGTGGACACCCCTAACAGCACTGAGATGCTTACATGCTCACTGATTCGGCTTTCCTCTTGCATTGGGTGTTATTGTGTGTGTTTTGTGAGCTTGAGGAGGGCTTTGCAGATCAGCGTGGGACCTATGGGCTAATGTCACACTTATGGGCTTGGACTGGACTGAGTGGGGATGCTTTCCTAATGTATACTTACTTACCTTTTATATAAAACTCTGTCTTAGATACATATGAGTTTCTGTGGATTTGTTTCTCTAGGCTACCCATATTAACAGACTGGTTTGACTTAAGGCTGATGCTTATTTTAATACTTAATTAAATCACACTTATTTCTGAAGTTCATTCACACTGTAATTTGCTGAAGACCAGCATATATATAATTGACAGTGTAATCTTCACCAAAGAGTTTTGCTGGATTTGTAATTCATTGCTTTTGCTACTCTATTAACCCAAATTCTAGGATATTGATCTTCATGCATTCCATTTCAGATTGAAGATAGATATCTGAGTTAGTTAATTTTGCCAGCCTGGCCGATAATCACATGTGGGGCTAATTGAAAGGCGGAGGGATAAATGGGTGGTGATCCTCACCTTTCTAGTTCTCAGGTCTCTTGCTTTGTGATGGTTGCACCAGGGTGCAGCTGCCTTAGCAGTTCCCTGCTTCGGCTT